GGAAGGGAGAAGAGGAAAGTGAAGAGAAGGAGACAATGAATCCTCAGGACAACTCTGCGCCGTCGCACAAGACGGCTGCTCTGTCCGTGCTCTCTGCCTCCAGGAACACAGCTCGGATCTCTCCTGACCTGCTACCTTCCCAGCTCTGGCAGCACCCATGACTGGCACCAGTACTGGCCAGTAACTCCTCTAAGCCTGTTGTAAACACTAAGCTACCCGTGGCGGGGTCAGTACCCCCACTGTGCCTTCATCCCCTGCTCCCACACGCGATGCCCAGTGAGCACATCCTCGCCACAGGCAGCTGCGAGCAGGGAACACGCGGCGAGGAGCTACGGCGAGGGCCCGGCGTCGTGCTGCTGCCAGCACCTGAGGACTCTGCCTCTCCGGTGAAACCCTCACAAAGACCACAAAGACCTCTCTGTCAGGAGTCAGCGCACAGCTGCCTTGAAGGAATGGAGATTTTGGCAGCAGAGCCAGCGCAGAGAGCATGGATGTGCACTCTCCCTGCATTGCCGTTCCCCGCGAACGGCTCTTCCCTCCTGCTCCCTCTGTAACCCTGACGAAAGACGGTGCAGTGCTCCAGCTACCTGTTTGGTCTCCCTGTTCCAGTGGGTCCAAAACTTCCCTTCTGCTTTGTCGATTTCTCTGCTTGGCACCTGCAAGAAGAACGAACAAGGAGTTATTATTGGCACCACCAGATCAGCTCGAGGGCCGTTTTTAGCACCAGAGCCTGCAAGATAAGCACAGTTGTTCCAGGCCTTTGAGACGCGCTAGTCTCGGATGTTACTGGATAGATACGGGGGCAGGAAAGAATTAAGTTGCCTCCCTACTGGTCAAGGACAAGTGTCCTGGCAAAAAACCTTCTCTTAACATCTGCACGAAGGCTGAGGAGCAAAGCCCAGCAGGCTCCTTTCTGCGCCAGGCACTGGGAATTCAATGGCTCCCCAGAGCTCAGCACACAGCCTAGTTTCCGTGCCAGAGTCCTCCACCAGTTCTCAGCAGGGTTTAATGACTTCCAGTCATGTCTTCTTGCCTCCCCTTTCCACTCCATTAACCCCTGAAGGCTCGAACGGGAGCCCGTAATGATGCTCACTGGGAATTAATGTCTTGAAGAACATGGGAAGGGAACTTTCCCAATAACCAGTTAACCCCAGCTCCTACCTTGAAAGCTATGGTTTCGTAGGGCTCCGCTGCCATCAGAAGGTACTGCCAGCGCCGGTCAGGGGGCTCGATCCTTTGCTCGTAGGCCGACATGAACCGGTGACGGGGCATGATGCTTTCTGCAATCTCCGGGTAGTCGATCTGCGGGGTGTTTATGGCGGCATTAAGGAGAACATCCCCTTTTCCCTCCCCCTTTGTACAGCACAAACCCCTCAACTATGAAGCGTATCGAGAGATCAGCTCCGAAGAAAACTTGGAGCCACCGGAGGAAACAGCTTGTCAGCTGCCATCATGGATTTGCTTGACACAATCAGCAGCAGAGGAATGGCAAGGTAAGGCTTTTTTTTTAAAAAAAATGTATTTATTTCATGAATCCTGCAAAGAACTGCACGTTTAGCGGCACTTTTACTGTGATAACCCAAACACCAGGAATATTAACAGTGCCCTACCTGGAAGAGAAGGCTCTGCTGGCCTGTTTCTGGATCTCTCTGCTTGGTCACTGTGAAGAAAGAGAAGCTCAGTACATCGCAGAGCAGGATGAGAGCAACATTATTTGTGCCCTAGGAAACACACAAAGCTTCCAACAACAAAGGACTGCATTCTTTTCCTCCCGTTTATCAAACAAAATGCCACATTGTCTTTAATGGAAGTTACTTGGGATCTCCACAGAAATCCAGGGGTCGTGGGGCAGACACTGCCCCGCAGAACACAGCTGGCAGATAAAGAAGCCAAGCTGCACACTGAAGGCCAGAACAACACGAGGAGCTCAGAGGAGAGACTCGAGCAACGAGTGGTTTATGGGCATCAGTGAAAGATGGCACAGCAGGACGAAAGGAGGAGCGAGACTGAAACAATGTCATCATCTCCGGCGTGACGACTAAGGGCTGAAAGACTCAGACGCACCAATCCATGATTAAAATGGTTCTCACTCGACTGCCAGCAATAAAGAGATGTTCCATGTAATTCAAACAACAAAGGACATCACGAGATAAGCCCAGATCTGCTCAAAAGTCTGATGACTAATGCCCACCCACAGCTCTGCACATCAGGCAAGCTCCAGCAGGCACCAGGTGGCCCCACGACAGACACCCCGACATACCCTTGTAACCCGGTCGTCCGATTTTCACAAATTTCTTCACTTCCACTTTGACTTTTTCTGGTGCGGGCTGGGCAGGAGCTTCCTTTGCCTCCTTGGCGGCTCGACGGGCCCTGGATGAGTTGGAAACATGCCAAACTGGAAAGGTTAGTCATACCTGTTTCTAAAGGATCCACTGGGAGCAGTTTGGGTCCCTCTGCACAGAACACTCCGTGCCTCACAGAAAGCATGCCAGGAAAACCTGCTACTTCTCTTCCACAAGCACCACTACGGGCTGGTTGTATCCACGCCTTCCCCTGACCAAAGGCTGTCACCTCAACTATCCATCCACCCCCCAGATGACCTTGGTGCCCGTCTCCACAGACGGATTTGAGAAGACTTACTTCTTGAAATAAAAAAGAAAAAAGCCCACAAGTTAAGTCATCTGAACCAAAGCAAAATGGATTTCTTAAAATTAAACTTAAAAACTTCTCCCAGCCTGTACTCACAAAACCAGATCCTTTTAACTCGACTCAGTTTGCTCTTAAGACTCTCTCCCTTCCTTCAGAAATCCCACAACTTTTGAACTTGAGCTCAAAACGGAGCTTCTCAGCAGCATTTTTTGGAGCAGACCGAGTCTGTACCTGTTGGCTGGTGCCAGGCTGTTCACTAGGAAACACACACAGCCCAAGAACATTCACGTGCCGCGATATGACAGAGGTCAAGATGCACAGATGCACACCACCACCATCGTTTGGAAGTGCTGGGGTAACAAAGAACAAAGCTGGAAGGACTTACAGGTTGGTCTGGTGCTTCTTGCCCTGGGTATGTGCCAAGTAGCTTCCCTGAAATCAAACCCAAGGCAGAAGGAAATTGAGTGAAGACAGAACTGCTCCTACACGGACAGAGCCCTGTCACAGAGAAGACTATGTCGCACGTTGACAAGGGTATTTGAAACCTCAGCAGAGAGGAATCTTCCTCAAAAAGAAGGAATATTTTTGAGAAGAAATTTTTGAGGAACATTCGAACTGCCACAAGCTCCACACGCACCAGCCACTGGCCCCCCGTCCCCTCCTCAGCAGCCAGCCACCAGCACCCCCCAGTTCTCCTGCCTGAAGCTGCCAACATCCGAAAAACCTGCTGCCGGGGCGGGCACAGCGGGGCGGCTCACCTCATTGTTGTGCAGCGTCAGGCACAGCTTGCACTCGTACGAGCCCAGGTGGTTCTTCATGAAGTACGGGTCCTGGGGGGAACGGGCAACAGGTCACAGCAAATTCCAACCCTAACCATTCCATGACTCCCTGGCTCTGCTCTGGGACTACAAGAGCAGAAACGACAGCAGCTTTGTGACTCCTCTCCCTGAGGAGACTAAACACGCAGCACGAGTTGGCGACTGAACTGCTGGGGAGCAGCACAGGGGAA